ACGGCGGCCGGCGCTGCGGGGCAGAGGAGGAGGAGGAGGAGGAGGAGGTGGCAACAACCACTGGGCAAAGCCTCCAAAGAGGCCGCAGGGGCTGAGCTCCGCCCCGTCCCGCCTCCGTGACGGGAGGAGCTGCCTGGCGGGGTCGCCCGAGGTCGCCGCAGGGCCTTTCCTGGGGCGCCTCCTTAGGTGTGCCTTCCTGGCTGCGTTTCGCCCTTTGTGGTGACTACAGGCTCCCCCCACCGACGGGAGAGTTAGCTTTCGCTTTTCTGTGTCTTGACTGGGCTGGCCGCTGTTGCAGCCCCAGAGGATGCTGGAGTCCGCTCGACTTTTCCTGGCATAGGAAGAGGATCTGTGGACATTTTTTAAAAAATTAATAATAAATAATAATGTGACACAGGCAAGACAGAAATGAAAAAAATAATAACAAAAGCATTAACTCAAATTTAAATCAAAACTCTTTTGTGTAACTTTTAAAAGAGAGAGAACTGAGCGCAAGTTTATGTTAAAAACCTACAAAGCTGTTCTTTCTGTGGGGAGGCAGTGTAGTGTCCTGGGCTGGACTGAGGATCATGGTAAAAGGTGGCTCTGTGAAATAAAAATGGATCCTCATAATTTAATATAGTTTTATGTGGGGTCTTTACCAAAGCACCTTCAAGTCATAGATCCCATCTGTGCACACTGGGTATAGCAACAAATTCAGGGGGGGGGCTATGCACATGGCTTGGCAGTGGTGCAAAAAGATGGATCCTTATGATTTTTAATGATATACAGTAATATGGAATCCTCCCTCACCCTCTGTCAGATCAGACATCCCATCTGTGCCTGCAGACTACACCACAGAAATGGATTCTTCAATGCATGCCTTTGCAGTGGCGCAAAAACATGGTTGCAAGACACAAATCCTCATCAATCCAAATGATTTTTACATAGGATTATTCCCAAAACACTATCCAATCACAGACCCCATCCGTCATAATCTACAGCCCAGAAATCATGGGTCTTCTGGCACATGGCTTTGCAGTGACACAAAAACATGGATCCTCATACATCACTTGATTTTTTACATTAGATCACCCCAAATCATTGTCAAATCTTATGCCCACAAATTAAAGATTAAAAGCATGGTTGTGAGGAATGCCTCCTTGGAGATTCATAGGATCCTTTTATGTCATGCATACTGAATGATTGCCAAATCATAGGTTTTATATATGTCCACAGAATGCATCGATTCCTCATTTTGGGGAAAATGGCATGATCTAATCACATGGATCCAAGGCATGGATCTTCAAGGAGCCATAGGGTTTCTACACATGATTCTCCTGGATTCATCAGAGAATCATATACAGCATTTCACTTGTGCACACAGAGTGAACTGTAAAAAAAAATAAATCACAGATCACTTACTTCACAACACCACCATAGCATGAAAACATGGATCTGAGCTGCACATCCACATGGACCTGTAGTGATCTGTTGTTGTAACTTTTGGAGTCAGATAGGGACAGTTAGAGTGAAGTGTTCTGTCAGTGTTAAGTTACTTAATAATGGAGTAAATTAAGTAGTTAAACTCAGTAATGTAGTATACCAACAGTTCCACAAAAAATATATATAATCTTAGAACCGAAGAGCTGAAAGGGGCCAAGGGGAATCACTGAGTCCAGCCCCTGTAAAGGAAACACAGGGGGGAATCGAACTCCCCACCTTTAGATCCACAGCCAGAGACCTAAACCTCTGCTCTATCTAGAAGTTTGTTTTCATATAAGAACTGTAACTAAATGGAAACATTATACTCTATCTAAATTACCAGAGTCTCTGAGTGAAAGTATTGAAACAAATGTGCAGGCTGAGGTAAACTAACAAATAAGGGGCAGTCTCCTAAAGGTGACTAGCAGTTCAGTTAACTCCTCTCTGGGTGTAGTGCCTAAACAGAAAGTGCCTGCTACTATGGTTTCAATCAGCACTTCACATAAAGGCAAAGATTTTTTTTAATTGCCCATATCCTGAACTGGCTCGCTTATTAAGTCACTTCACGATACCAGAAATTGACTCCGGAAAGAGCCTTGACAGTTTACAGCTACAAGCCTGGATTTTGGTATTTTTCTAGCAGTCGCACACACTGGGAACAGACCAAACTGGAGGACACTAACTCACCCAAAACAAAACAAAACAAGCAAACAAAAACCCACAGAGAAACCCCTGACAGGAGCTCAAAAAGGTTCTCTGGGGGCAAACTGGTCTACTCTAGCAATTACACCTTGTGATCACCAGAAAAAGAAGGAACTCGTCCACCCCACAATGCACCCAAATGTGGAACAAATGCCCGTCTGAAGGAAGCCAAGAGTATAATAGGGTACAACCACTCCTGGGTCTCCCTAACTACTTTGTTGCTTCTTTTAGTCATGTTGTTGTTTACAAAGTTGCATGTCTTCAAAGTGCCACAGTGTCAATTTCTTTGCTTTTGTTTGTTTTGTGTTTCTTGTTGAAATGCTTCAACAGATTAACAGGGCTGCAACCCCAAAAACCTAACTAGGCTAGTGGTTGTAGTCTTTTGACATTATCCCCAATTAATAAAACTTGAATACAATTCAACCGCCAGTCCAGCTGGTTTCTCCACATGAACAGAGGATGGGGGGGCACCTTGTCCTTCACTCCAGGCTGCTAAGTGTCTTCAGCCAACCATCATTATCAAACGCAGAGGAAATGCTGAAGGGAACTTTTACCCTGAAATGGCAGGAATTCCAAGAGAGATAAACCTCACATCCATGAAAGGAAACCAGCTGGCATTTGAATTTTAACAGACAAAGGACTATAAAACAAAGTTTAAAACAGAAAACAAAGAAAAAGAAGAACTGCCGAGAATAGATGGACTCGGCTCCACAACACAAGAGCAGAGATTTGGCCTGGATCCAATGTACAAAGTCCACCACAGCCCTTGAGACACTGTTTTCCATTGTATCATCTAATAATCCCCTGAGTGCATGCTCAGATGCTGGCATCCTACACACAATCAAGCGAGCAGTTGTGTGGCTCAACTTTTATGAAGTCCACCAGGACTGTGGCCTCAGTGAGAACCTCCCCATTGACAGCCACCAGGGAGAAGCTTCATGGCACAGATTTGACTAAAGTCCAGTGCTGGGAGGGGATTTCTGGAAGCCGTCGTCCATAAAAGTAACTTTTTCAAGGTCTGCCCAGGCTTTACAGCTTAATTTTCTCTTTGGCTTCTTTCCTAACTTCAAAGGGCCAGTGTTTCAGTGGGCAAGGCTGGGGAAGGAAGGCAGCAAGAACTGGACCCACTTCCTTAAACACATAACCAACACAGATCCTCTTTCTGCTTTGGAACCGGTCGAGGTTATCTCTTACTGTCAAGCTACGAAAAGGAGAAGAGATGCTCAATTAGCTTCTAAGGAGATATGGGTAGGATTACAATGAAAGTGGCCCTGCCCACCTGCGCCAGCCACCATGATCCCTCGGCTCACTGCATCTGACAGAGGGAGAGAAGAAGGCTGCGGACCGGCCACCGTTTCTTGCGTCCCCCATCAGGGCAGTGCCAGATTCTCTGAGTGAACGTATTGAAACAAATATTCCAGTTGGTAAACTAACTAATAAGGGGTGGTCTCTTAAAGGAGGCTTGTAGTTCAATGAGATCTGTAGGTTCTTCCCAGAACCATGTTCACCTGCCGCATAATAAGAAGACATTTATCATTTTTTTTAAAAAAAAAAACTAATGCCACACTCAATTTTTCTCGCCCCAAACTCTGCCAAATACCAACATATTTTGCATCTTTTACTTCATTATATCAGCATGGGATAAGAAAATGGAGCTCAGGAAGACATCCTCATGGACCCATCTGGTTTCTCAATTGGCATATACGCTAAATCAACACCTTAATTACAGCCAGATCATACACATAATACATGTCCCTAAAGTAACCCATAAAATCAGTTTCCTCACTGCATGACTGCTGTGGCACAAATACGTTTTTTATTTGTTTATTTAATTCATATGCCGCCCACACTACCCAAAGGTCTCTGGGCAGTTTACAGCAATTAAGTCTTTAAAGTGCCACAGTGTTGATTTCTTTGCTTTTCTTTGTTTTCTGTTTCTTGTTGAAATGTTTGCACAGATTAAATACATATATTAGAGGCACGGATCCATGTTATTTTTTACATGGAATCTTTCCCAAATTATCATAGTTCGTATACCTCTTCTATGCCTGAACATGATAAAAACTACAAATGTGGCATGGTATAAAAACATAGAGAAGATTATCATGGATCTACATGAATCTAAACTGCCATTCAGTTGGGGATCTCATCTGTATCCACAGCCAAAGATACAGAAATTGTGGATCCCTAAATGCATGATGTCAATAGTTCAGACAAGTGGGTCCTAGATCAAATCAAGCCTGAACTATTTCCAGAGGCAAAAATGTTGTAACTGAGGCTACCTTACTTTCGGCATGATTCTCATTTTGAAGATCACTCATTCATAAGATTGCCATAAGTTGGAGGCAACTTGAGGACATGTAACGACAACAACATACTTAATCAGTTTCTATTGCTCACCAGTAAACTTTCTTAAAAGAAAAGATTAACTGTACGAGCATCTTTCATTACCAGTTTGCATGGAAATTATATCACTTTGCTTCCTTGCACAGAGAATGGTGAGTGTCTTTGACATCTAAGCAAAAGCTATTCCCCTCTGGAGTGCACATTTGGAACAGGGAGAAGAGCCATGTAGAACAATATAAAAAGAGAGAAAAGGACACAAAGATACATAACCCACTCAGGTCTTGCACAATGGAAAAACAAACTGCTTTGTTTGAAAATATGCATTGAGAACTTTAAAAGAAACAATCAGCTCTTTGGTTTTGCATGCCTAGTTTGGCCAACTTCAGACTGGAAAGAATAACCTGCTCTG